TGGGAACTCACCGCTCTTGGCTCCACATCCCACGGGGGAGAAGAACTGCCGGCGAGGCGCTGGTCACATCTTTTCCAACTCTTTTAATTCCCCCTCTCCAGCCGGAGCCGGTGCTCGCCGCCCGCCTCCTCAGCCATACTGGTGCGGTACTGGCGCGATACTGGTGGCACTGGGCTCGCAGAACTTCTCAGCTGCGTTGCACTTCGATTTGAGGTGCGTGTGGCCGCGCCGGGGATGCGGCGCGCAAAGAACGCGACTGGCTGGGAGAGAGTTTATTTTGTTTATTTCTGCTCTTCCTTCCCCTCCCTCTCCCAGTTTAGCCCAGGAACTCCTGCAGCATTGGTTAATCCTCGAGGAGGGAGAACTGCTGAGATCTTTAGCGAGCTCTCCCCTACCACGGATACTTCCTATAGCTCTGGCGTCTCTGTGAGGGATGTACAGCTACGAGATGTGAAGGTATTTAGAAAAAAAAAGTAGTGGTTTCCAAGTCAGGCAGATTCCTGCTGGGAAGTGAAGCTGGGGTTTAGGAATGGAACTACATTTATAAAAAATAAACCTCTTGGTGTTCGCCTTGGTTATAAATTCAGGGAACATTCACCTCCAGGTTTGTTCTGACAGCAGCTACTCGCTGGTTTGTTTTAATTTGTACAGAGTGAAGGTTTTTAGCAGTTGGGAGAGAAGGGAGGCTGCAGGTGGTGAGGCAGGAGCTTGGATGGGGTGGTTTGGAGGATGTCCAGACCTGTGTTTAGGGTGGGTACAGGGACAGTGACCATGGCCAACGCTACCCCTCACCCTGGTGACCATCGCAGATCTTTCAGATTCTTCTGACCAGGGGAACCTCGTGGGGTTGCTTCTGCTGTGTTCACCCATGGACAAGCTCAGCTGCTGCTTAAGTTCTCTGGATGCACTGGAGGTGTTGAAAGTTGGGGTCAGCTCTAGCAATGCCAACCCAACCCTGGTGTCCTGATGTGTCCCCACCACAGGTACAGTCACAGAAGGTGCTTCGGCACAGCGTTCTGGGGAAGGTTTTTCATGCCTGGCCTGGGATTTGGAGGGTGGACCTGAGGTCTGGGGATCCAGCACGAATCACCTGACAGGGTCTTAGGAGTCCCACAGGGTAACTGAGGAATCTGGACTTTAATTGTTTTACAACATCCTGATTGCACAGGTTCAGTTCATGGGATTCATTCAAGGGAAGTTTATAAATCTGATGCCTAGAAAACTGGAAAATACACAAATTTTAGAAAGTATTCCTGACTGGAAAGGACAAAATGTCTCTGTGGGCTTTGTGAAGTCAGAATGGATGAAATCAGGAGGCAGAGACAGGGAGAGCTGCTTGCTCCAGGCCTGACCCCAGAGGATTCTGCCCAATCCAACATCTCCCTACAAACAACCAAGGAACATTCTGTTGGAAAATAACATGGAATTTGCTTCCATTCACAGTAAATACTTTTTGCATGGAGGCTGAGCTAGTGTCTTATTCAGAAAAAAAGGTATTCACGAAATATTTATTGAGCAGGTTCCTCGACAGCCGTGTGATATTCCCAAGGCAGGCTGTCCGTGCAGGTGATGCTCTCCCCAAAATCTTCCCCTTCACACTCCCAAACCACCCCTGCTTTTGTTACAATCCCACAGAAGAGCTGTAAGGCTTGGAAATTAATTGTGCCACTCTCCTCCTGTCTCGAGGAGCATCACCAATGCACTTTTTAAACATTTAAAAAGATCATCTATTTTTCACATGCTGATTGTGCTCCTCGGAAAAGAAAGGTTGGTTATGCTCCAGCCTTTTAAATCAACAGTGCTGAGGGTTAAATACTTTAGTGGGAAGTGTCAGGGATGTAAGAGGACATTGACTGAAGCGCTGGCCCCTTCCTTAAGGATCTGTCTTTCTGCTCCGCCCGGAATCCCCCGGCTCAGAGCCCTCCTGGCAGCGGGGTCGTGGGGTGGGAGGTCACTCGTCGCGTGGACACGAGTTCAAGATAGAATGTGGCAGCAGGACCCACCAGGGACCACACCAGCCAAAATCACAGCGACTCCTCCTCCAGCAGCCCGAGCGGGCTGTCAGGCGCGCAGGAATGCAGCCGCTTCTCCCTCCCTATCAGGGATTCCAAGAGAAAGCAGCAGCGACAGGGAATGTTTGCCTCCAGGCCTGTTTGCCAGTGCAAAAGTGTTGCGACCTGCTGATGGAGACAGGTGAGGGAAACGTGAGCGCTCGGAAAAAATAAACAGCAGCGAGAAGAATATCGAATTGAAATAGTGCTATCAGAGAACTCCACCAGCAGACTCTGCTGGAAATTATCTGAGACACCACGGTACAAAACCGCTTCCTTTTCACAAGGAAAATGATCTAATCAAGATGTATGTGCATGACAATACGCTTGCAGGGAGAGGAAGTTGGAGTTATCTGCTTCAATTACTGCACTTAACAGTGTCCCTGTCCTGAAGGAGGAGGTGAATAATAAATATAAACCATTTTTTTTCCGAATCTGTAACTGAGTTGAGTAACTCAGCTCACATTGAGTAGCACAGGAAGCAAGAGAAGGAGAAGTCACAAGGTGAATATTCACAAGATATTGTGAATATTTCTGGGGAATGAAATATGAAATGAATTATTAAATATTACATGAAATGCTGACTTGCAGACAGTGGTACCTTGATATTCTGCAGGACACCAGGATGTGCCCATGAGGGAGAACTGTTTGTGAGCTCCTGGCATGAGAAGGGAAATTGGAGAAGGGTTTTAGGACCCCTTAGTTGGCAAGTTTATATCATAGAATCAATCATGGAATGGTTTGGGTTGGAAGGGACCTTAAAAATCATCTGGTTCCACCTCCCTGTTACAGTCAGGGACACTATCCACTAGATCCTACCTGTGTCCATCACTATGGGACTGGCTAAAGAAATCATCTCTTCCCCTTGCTCCTATTCCTGCTCCATGCTCTGCATCCCAGCAGAGGATCTTGTCGGGGCTGGGACATCCCCAGGCTCAGACACCTCATCCCTTCCCTTGCTGGAAGAACATCAAGGGTCAAATTCACAGCAGATCCTGGATCACATTCTGCAGCCAGAACCCTAATCAGAAAGGCACCCAGGTGTATCCCACTATTCCAATGAGTATTTTCTTCCATTCAGGTTATGTATCGTTACAGCATAAATTATGGAAAGGGCTGGAATTCCTGTTTGAGCAGCTTCATGAAAAACTGAACTTTGACTGAACACAAACAGCAAATAAAGCGGGAAACGAGATAAAAAATGATGCAGGCCTCAGTTTCTTTGAAGGTGAAATGACTGATCCCAGGTGTCAGCACCTCAGAGACCCGCTCAGGTATGTTTTGAACCCACTAAATAATGGATTTGAGTGTGTTTTCTTTTGTCTACTTTGTTTTGGGTGGAATTATATCCATAATCTGCTTCTCTGCTGCATTACTAGCAAGGAAAAGTTGTGTTTTGCTGACAGAATTCAGTTCACAATCAGATGCTCAGTTTTTACAAGGCTCAGAGGTTTAACTGCTTGACTAATAAGAATTTTGTGTGATAGAGGTAAGAGCTTATTTATTATTTATTGCTTTTATTTTAGGGTAACAGCAGTGAAATTTATATATGAAATAAGATGCATGTTTTTGAAAAGAAATCCTTATACCTGTATGTCAGCACAGAACTGAAGCTGGAGAGGCTGACATGACAAATCTGAGAAAACAAGAATTGTGGGGATAATTCCGTTAATTCATTAGTTCATCCTGAATATTAGCAGTGTCAGAAGGTATTTTCTTCCTGCAATGCTCCATTCTGGTGACTTGCTAAAAAAGTAACATTAAAAATGCACTCCACTAATTTATTTATTTTTGGATTTTTGGAGTGATGTATTTCTCTCCTAATTTTGCTCTTGTTTCACAGCCTTTTATAGGACTCTTGGACAGTTTATAGACACCAGCTGACACCTGTAAAGTTCACCTGAAGCTGTTCAGAAGTTTAAAACACCTCATTGCAATTTATCTGGAACTATTAATGCACAAAAAGGCAAAAATTGATTAGAGTGGCTGAGGAACTCTTCTGTCCTGTCTTTAAAAAGTGGATGTAAACCTGTCAGCTTTTACAGCTGTCCTCACACTGCTTCAACTAAACATATATTTGGAGAGGAGATCTGGCATTTCTCTCCCAGCCCAGAGTCCTGCTGCTCCTGGTGCCAGGTCCAGAGCAGGGATGGGGTGTGAGGCAGCTTCTGCAGCATCAGCAGCATCAGCTTCATCAACATCATCAACATCAGCGGCATCAGCAGGATCAACATCTTCATTCCTTCCCAAGAAAAGTACTGATACCTCACCTGTGGCCATGTGCTGGTTTTTAATTTTATTTAACTTAATGAATTCAAATCAACAACAACAAAAAAAGAAACAGGAGGGAGAAAAAAAACCCCTGATTATATCACTTTGAGAGCTTTGCCAGTGCCAGGCTGCCCCATAAGGGCTTGGTCTATCCCAGGTTCAGGTGATCCAGGCAATGGGATTTTGATGGCTTCCCAAGACATGCTCCCAGTGTAATATCCCTGAAGTTATTTGGGGTTTTTCAGCATCTTAAAACTTTCTTTGACGAGATCAGATACTAAAAGGGACAAAAAACATGACTTGCAATTTGTTCTTTATCCATCCTGTGGCACCATGGAAAAAAGGAGGCTCAGGAAGGACCTTGTCCATTCTGTGCAACTCCCTGACAGGAGGGGGGAGCCAGCTGGGGATCGGGCTCTGCCCCCAGGGAACAAGGGACAGGATGAGAGGAAACGGCCTCAAGCTGTGCCAGAGATAGTTCAGGTTGGACATCAGGAGGAATTTCTTCCTGGAAAGGGTGGTCAGGCATTGGAAGGGGCAGCCTAAGGAGGTGGTGGAGTCCCCATCCCTGGAGGTATCCAAGGAAGGACTGGACATGGCCTTCAGTGCCCTGGGCTGGGTGACAAGGTGGGGATTGGGCACAGGGTGGACTCCATGGGCTGGGAGGGCTTTTCCAATCTCAGTGAACCTGTGACTCTGTGATCTCTCCTTTAAAGCTGATATTTCCAAACTAAGCTAAATATTCAGGAAGGCCAATAATTATGTATTTGTTTCCCCTGGCAGCTGAGAGGCTCTTGGAATCCCACGGCTGCAGCACCTGCAACTGTAACAGCCTGGAATCTCAGGCTGATCCTGCTCCTCACAATTATGTCAAGTTTGATCATCTGCAAAAAGCTGCCTCCTCACTGGGTATTTATCATCTCTCAGACAGGAGCAGACAGTGATCTTTTACTCCCTCATGCAACATTTCCACAAGCATTATATATTTCAGAGACATTTTCATGTATGTATATGCTAGGAATTGTATGCAATATTCCAGAATGGTTCCACCAGTAGCATTCAGGGAAACATTATGGCATTAACCACCTCTCACCTCACCCATTACCGTGTTTCTTTTCCTAACATGCAGCAGTAGAAGAAGCATCTGATTTCCTGTTTAAGTGCCATATAATCACTTGTTACACATAACAGCACACTTCCTTTTAATGCTTAAATCCTGGGAGTTGTGATTTCCTTCACTGAGCCTCTGTCAAACACTGAGCCCACCAGACCCCATCCCTGGAATAAAACAGGCTGAGGGCTTCACCAAGTCCTCTTTGGATATGGACACAACATTTAATATTGATGTAAAAAAGGTGAGTTATGGGGAATGCACAACAACTCTCGGTAAGTTTTTTTTCAGCAATTAATTTTTCCTACTGGTGCAATTTTCTTATTTTCTAGGCAAATATACCAAATCTTCACAGTTTGGTTCTGGACCTTGTGCTCCATCTGCCCCAGGCAATGGGATTTGGTGCTCAGTGAATTCATTGCAGTGTTTGAATCTGAGCACAAACCAGACAATCTGCTGAATACCCGAGCTTGGATAGATGAGATCCTAACTTATAAGGAACAATATTTCACTCAAAAATTTAAATGACTATATTTATTCATTTAAGAGGACTCTGCATGTGCCCTTTTAGTGCCCCAAGCACAAGGCTTGGACTCAGGACCCCCAGGCTCCCATTTCCCCTGTCCCAGGAGCTTCCAGCCCAGCCAGGATCCACTGAGCATATCCCTGGCCTGGGGACATGAGGTGCTGATGCTCAAGGAGTCTCAGGGGGAACCTTGTCACCTTCTACAACTCCCTGACAGGAGGGTGGATCCAGGTAGGGGTCAGACTCTGCTCCCAGGGAACAAGGGACAGGACAAGAGGGAATGGTCTCAAGCTGTGCCAGGGGAGCTTTAGGTTGGACACTGGGAAAATTTCTCCATGAAAGTTTTGTCCAGCCCTGGCACAGCTGCCCAGGGCAGGGGTGGAGTCCCCATCCCTGGAGGGATTTAAAAGCTGTGTAGATGTGACACTTGGGAACATGGGTTAGTCATGCTCTTGGCAGTGCTGGGGGCTTTTCCAACCTGAACAATTCTGTGATTCTTTGATTCTGTGATTTTATGTGTGCAGCACCCACAGGGCTCCCTCAAAATGCACACACTCGGGTGTGGAGAGGTAGATTGGGTAAGAAATTACTGGGTTTGGTTTCCTTCAGCTCCTGGGGAGGGCAGGCTGGGGCTGCAGGGGCTGTGCCAGGTGCTGCTCACTGCTTCATCAGGAAGAGAATGGAAGCTCAGGTGGGCGCAATAATTACAGCCAGGATTATTTGGTGACTCTTCCATGCCTGAGTCTCTTTAGGATTGCTCCAGGTGGTGGGTTTTCTCCTTGTACACAAGAAAACTTGTGCAGGTGGAGGCTTCTCCATGTGAATGATCCAGACCTGGCAGCAAGAAGAGTTTACCTGCCCTGGTGGGATGAGTGGAGGTCTGCTGGGTTCCTCAAGGTAAGTAAACTAGGAAACATTGGACCATCAGCCTTGGATGTTTTAAAAGCACAATAACCTCTAAGTGTTGTGATGGTTTGTGTGCAGGAACTCTGAATTTTGGATTTATTGGTGGGGCAGTAAGTTGGCAGGATAGCTTTACCTTGACAACCTTGGGGTGACATCCCCTCCCTGAAGCTGGTGGGAGCTCAACAATTCCCTTGGAGGGGAAACCTGAACCTCTGGGTCCTCAGACTCATTTTTGGGAGGAGTAGGAAGAGTACCCCTAGGTTTAGCATGTGAAGTGGGCAGCTTGATGTGAGTGTCTGAGAGTAGCAGAGCATGAAGAGTCTCTTGTCCAGCATTAATTTTGGATAGCGAGACCATGTGTAAGCTTACATTGATGACTCTGAGGAAAACAGCCCACGTGTGTACAATAATATTTTAGTTAACTTGCTCTGAGTTACTGCTTTGAGGCTGCTGTGAAGCTGGGAGGGGTTACTGGAAAGCCTAGAGGGATTTTGGGGTGGCTAGGTCTGTCTGTCACAGAGAGGAGCAAAAACCTCTCTGTGCCATTGCTCTTACTCACAGCAAACACTTAAACACTCCCCAAATCCAGAGGTTAAACATGGATTAATACACACAGGAAAGGCAAGTGGAGCAGGGAAATCAGAAAGCAAATTGTTGCTACTTTTTTCCTCTTCAGTGTCAAAAAAAAAAGGGCTGGGGGGGAGTTTCTTACTGAGGCTGGTTTGCAGGATCACATGCCTGCAGCAGCGCTGTGGAGAGAACATCTCATGGCTCTGAATGGTTCTGTTCTAGTCTGTGTCCACAAATACAGATTGGTATCTGCTCGTTACAGCTGGAATCCCACAGGGATGTAAATGTAGGGCTATAATTTCATGGTGATGAAGCCAAAGTCAAGAAATATCTTTTCTGGGCATTGTAAGAAAACCAAAGTGCCCATTGTGGGTCTCTTCTGGCAGAGCTCAGGAGGTCAGATACCCCAGGCCACTCTGACACCACAGCCTCCACTGCCAGCCCTGGCTGAGCTCTCCCAGCAAAGCCTCCTGCAGATCCCTTGGAAATTTCTGAGTCAGAAATTAGCAATAGTGAAGTAAAATAAATCACCACAGTGAGATGAAATTACCTGATACAGAAATCAACTGTATTGACTTGAAAGTAGCATTATAAATACCATTAAATTCAAAACAAGATTTTCATAATTGGGGAAATATAAAATTGTGGAAATATAAAAGCTGCCTATGGAAGGAAGTCGTGCCCTGAAACAGTCAGGAAAAGTTCTAGAGAGAAATACTGGAGTCCATGTGTGTCCTTAGGCTGCTGCTGATGTGGGATGGGTCCCTCCCTGTCTGATCCCTTGCACACAGGAGCATCACCTGGTGCTGCTCAGCACTGGGTTTGCTCAGCTGAGACTGAGTATCTCCGATTACTCCTTGTGTAAGCTGGTATTTAAAACTCCTGTGATGATTAAAAATAGTATTGTGAGCATTAAGGTGGGATCCACACTGTGATAAAGGTATGTTACTGGTGAAGGGAAAGTTCAGGATTTACCTTATTGAAAAAATAATGAAAGTGGGGAAAAGGATATTTATTTTCTCAGAGATTGGAACCAGGCACTGGCACAGGCTTGTGTTTTTGTTATGTCTGTGCTCTCTAAAAAACGTGTTGATCGCAATAGCCCTAAACTGGCTGATGCCTGAAATGAGCTGGACATTACTGCGGAGAAATTATCTGCACTTTTAGAAGCTCTACTTGATTTGAATTTGAAAATAAGCTTAAACTTGAATGGATCTGCCTGATCTGGGTTGTTTGGTGTGCTAATTGTAATCCTCCAGCCATAAGTCTTTAAAATATCTCTGCAGATGTACTAATAGATCCTGTTAGGGTAGTTAAAGTATGAAAACATTAGTCTTTAAAATATCATTCTGTCTCTTGCTGGAGTGAATTGAACTCGGGTGATGTTATCAGGCTTTGCAGCCCTGCCATCTACTGGCTGATTTTTTGTAAGGTGATTTGTGGGGGTCTCAACTCGAAAAGTCCTCAGAGAGAGGTTTTAAACTTTTTAAACACCTAGAGGGGAGATTTGGACTAGATTTTAGGAGGAAATTAATCCCTATGAGAGTGGTGAGGCCCTGGCACAGGTTGCCCAGAGAAGCTGTGGTTGCCCCATCCCTGGAAGTGTTCAAAGCCAGGTTGGATGGCACTTGGAGCAACCTGGGCTAGTGGAAGGTGTCCCTGCCTTTGGCAGGGGGTGGGACAGGATGATCTTGAAGGTTCTTTTCAACCCAAACCAGTCTGTGATTGTTTAACTAGGTTGTGGGTGCCATGCCCAGCCCAGCTGACCAGGACAAGCTGAACTCCCTCCTGACTCTCCCCCCGTCCCTCCTCCCCACTGGTGCAGGAACAGTTGTTCTCCTGGACTATTTTTAAGCCTGTGTGGACAGTGGGCTTAGT